ACACTCTGTGACCTCTCTCAAAAGACATGTACACTCTGTCTCAAAAGACTAAGCTTCCCTTGTTAATATAAACTAGTCTGAGTTGCGCTAAGGGTGCTCCAGTTCTAGTGCGAGTAACCTAAGTTTTGGATTTAGGCGAGCCATTCTTAGCCTTAACTGGTAAGTCCTCAAAGCAATCTGGATACAAAACCCATTAACCTTTAAGAGCAAAAGAAGCAGAGCCTAGTAGTGGAATAGTATTTGTTGAGCAGTCCTGAGCAATTACGTTGTGGCAGTAGATCCTGCTCTTCAGTCACTCTCATGAATAAGGTCCTGTAAATAATCGTGGTGAATGAACTCTCTAGGTTTACTCTTGGTCCTAAATACTAGGATCACATTTGCCAGAAAGATTCTATATCAAGGAGCTGATTATATTGCCCTAGCTGTACATGGTGGATACTTCATTCCCTACAGACTTTCTCAAAAAGAACTTTTGATGGAGATGAAAAGGGCATGGGGGARGGAAAGGGGATGTGATTTGATAGCACAGAAGGGGAAAGAAAAAGATAAATAAACCATGGAATCTTGAAAGAAAAATTCTTCTGGAACCTGAAGGCATACTGTTGTTATCTGACCTGCTAGCTCACCTAAGTTTATAGAAACTATTGATTTTATCATTGTTATATTGTCATACGTAACTACACAATGAGCATCATACTAAAGAAAAGCAAATTATTTAAATGAGCAGTGTAATAATAATGCTTAGAAATTCTGACTTACATCCTTTGCACTCCTCTACAGCAATACTCCTGGTTCTATATCCCTTTCTCTTGCAAGACTTCCTATTTTCCCCCTCCTCCTTCTGCTCCCCCATACCCTCAGCCCCCTCAGGTCCCATCCCACCCACCCCACATACATCCTGGAACATCAGAGCTGCCTCCCACTTCCTCTGCCTGCTGCGGGCAGGCAGCAGCACAGCCCTGGCTGGCTCTGGGCACCGAGGGCAGCTGAATTTACCTGCTTTTCCCCAGTGGGACTTTGGGGTCATCTCCCTCCACCCAGTCACTGCTTTTCTGAGACCTTACAAGAGCTCAGTATCATGGAGTCTTTTACCCTTCTGTGAAACCTCCCTGCAATTGTCCAGTGGGTTATAAAATTATCAGGAAGAAACTCAGAAACAGAGAAGACAGGCAGGTGCTTGGGGACAATTACAAAGTGACCAAGCAGTCAAGTAAAGTCGGTTTGGTGGAAGACAGATCTGGGACTGTTCTGGGAAGAAGCTTTTGTATTTATCTTCTGGGAGAATATTTCATAGCTTGAGACGTATTCAGCTCAGGCACCAAGAAAACAATGAAGGCTTTCTAGGGAGTAATGGTCTCTATTGCCTGCCAAAGCTAGACCCGTATTGACAAGGTTGGAGGTAACAGAACATTATGTGTTTTTTTCCCGTTGGTATATCTGAGCCTTCAGATTTTTCTTCTGCAAAAACCTACCATAAAATCCATTTTGGACAGCACTGATGCCATACTGAGCCCTCCAGAGGAATGGGTCCAGTGCCTGGGCTATCTTAGGATCCTCTGGCCCCAGTAAATCTAGCAGCTTCTTCACAGCATTTGGTCTCTGAAGACACAGCACAAGGGCAGAGCCTGAGGTTAGATAGGTACAATGAGCTTCTAGCACAGCAGGATCCTGAAAAGAAATAAATGAAAAGGGAACAGATTATAATAATCAGTGTTGGGGAGTGCTGGGCACATCCCAGCCACTCTTTGGCCTGATCCATCTCTTTGAAGCAAATACATCCATGATTATTCCTTGTTTTCTCTCCTCTCATTATAACTGCTAATGGGCTCTGCAGGCACAGCTTCCACAACACATGCTCTGGCCAGTTTTCCTGTGTGTGACATTCACCAGGTAATAAAAGGCCCAGTTCCCATCTGATTCACAGACAGCTAAAGAAAGTTGAGGGTTTAACTTGTACCCTCACCTTGTGATTTTAGTTCTCAGGGTCATTGATCAGTCAGTAGTGGCTGTTACACACACACGTATATAATTTCAGCAATACTTTTCCTAAAATCCTCTGGTAAGAAAGGCAACAACCCCTTCCCCCCCCCCCCCCCCCCCCCCCCCCCCCCCCAAAAGACAGAAAAGCCTTGTGCTGTGACACTTTCTGCATGCCTACATATGGTAGGCACTGGAGGTGGAGTTCATTTGCAGTTGATAAGAACACAAATAAATTACTACTCTGTAGTTAGCCATTATTCTCATCTTCTCACCTGGAGAAGATGTTCTGTTTAAAGATCAAGGTACTTTCTGCTCAGGAAAAGCACAGTGAGACAGGAATACTGCAACACATAACAAGCTCTGATTGTGTCAAGCAGCAAGTTTAATTCTTTTCTTAGAGCACTTCTAAATTGTTCATGAAGTTTTGTCAGTGATTAAAGACCTTAGAAATGAATGAAAAGAATTAGATACGTGTTGCTCACATGGAGGAACAGTGATGCCAAGGAGGGGGATTCCTTTCTGGAAAAGATCTGCACAGAAAGGCCAGGGCAGCCAGCACAGCTGCCTCTTCCTGCCTCCTGCAGGTTAAAAGGTGGTAGGAACAGCCCAGTTCTGCCTCCCTTTGCTCCGTGGACAAAGGTTCAGCCAGGCCTGTGCGGCAGAGAAGCTCCAGTCCAGCACTGTGTTGGAGTTTACAGCCCACAGCATATTCAGCTTGTTGGCTCTACCTGCCTTGGTGGGACCACACATGGGCAGTGGGCTGGAATTCAGCGAGCAGCTCTGCTTATGCACATGGACAGGAGGGTCTGGCAGGGCTCAGGATCCAGAGGAACCAGAATAAAAGGCAGCAAAAGGGTCCTCTGCAGTTAGAATCACAGCACAGACTGGAAGGTACAACCTCTACAAACAGTTCTTCCTCAGGAGCCACCCCTTCTCCAAGTACAAAGGCCACCAGGTCGCAGTGAGTGCTGAGAAGGCAATGTCAGCTCCATTTAGTCAACTATTATTTTTATAATTATCCTAAATCTTCAAATAAAAAGAATTTTTGGAGCTCCTGTGATTGGGTAGCCTCAGCAAATAGTAGAGCAATCTTATTTATTATATATCACAGGCTAAGGCCTCTTAGAAACTGAATGTTAATATTTAAAATGGAAAAACAATCACATTTCTACAGTCATTTTGCCACGGATATTTGTCAACATGCATGTAAATAGTACCTTCCAAAGAAGATGCCAGATAGTCTGGCGATCAGTGAATATAACCAAAACCTGCTATTAGCACATACATAAAAGCAACTAAAAAGGGCRTATTGAAGAACACATAGGAGCTTCCTAGAGATTTCAGTGAATTTTGAATCAGGTTCAAGCTCAGAAGGAGGTAGAAATCACTGGACAAACTTTCTAGAAGGTTTTGACACACTAATTCCATCTTCTCCTGCTATATTTCAGCAGTTTTTCCTCTTTAAGAGACCCGTTTTAAAAACAGCGTTTTATCCAATTGTCCTTTATACTGAGAACTAGGTCTACAATGAACACTGCTCTAATTTCAATGCTTTTATCAMGTTCAGCTGTGAAAAAGGTTCTGTCCCCCCATAAGCTGCCATTGTAAAATTTACAACCCTATTTTCAAAATAACCCAAAGCACGCTGAGGCTTTTTGAAAATCTGCCTACTTCTTTGGGGAGCTGAGCCCTTTTCAGTCATCATCACTAAAAGACTTTCAGATGCAGGCTACAGACGAGGAGGAGCTCCTGTTCAGCAGAAAGAATTTCCTACTGTCCTTTTCTGCTTGCCAAARTCAGTCTGTTTTCTCACTTTCAAAACCTGCTTTTATTCCACAAACACAAAACCAATACTTGGTAATTTTTAAACTCATTAGTCACCAGTTCTTCAAAGAAACCACATCAAGGCTCAACAGCTGCTCTACTGTGCTAGAAAATCCAAAAAAAAAAGGTAAAAAACTCATGAAACAGTCTCTCTCCAAATTTACCCTGCAAATATATTTATACATATGTTTGCATATATACACACGTTTACCCTGAATATATGCATGTGTTTGTATGCCTGTTTATGTGTCTGTGTGTATATATATAKAKAGAGAGAGATGCACATTACTTCTTGAGGCAGACAGTGGTTTTGGTTTTCTTATTTATTTACTTTTTGTTTGTTTCAGATGATTAACTAAAGATTCAAGAAAAAAATCTAACTCCTAAGATAATCACCTTTCAGTTTCCTGACAGTATCTTTATACTACATTTCCTGTCACCATAGAATCTTTCATGTTGGGCTAAAATGAATTTCTGATGTTATAAAAGAACAGCAACATAAACCTATTTTTAGCTAAAAAAGCCGTAATATCCCACGCTTTAAAAATCCTCTTTATTCTCTATTAGAGAATGGAAATGACAGCAACCCAATTTTCTCTTTATGCAGGTCATTTTTAAGGATTTGTGAACACATGCTTCTGGGAGAGAGATTCAGCTCTATAAATAATATAATTTCAAGACATATCAGGGCTCAAGAGGCTATATATGGTCTGGTGGTGCTAAAAGTGTTTCCCAGCTTCCAGGCTTAAAAGCATGGAAGGAAAACCTGGCACATGTGCAGGAAGTGCAGTACCCTCATTGAAGACTGCTGGGAGTGATCCTGGGCAAGGAATAAGGGACACTTGCTTCCCAATTAAGAACCAGTATTGTAAATTAGTCACTCTGATTCCAGTGGGGGTGTTCCTATCTTCCCTACCTTCAGAACTCTTCTTTTAGAGTTTCTTTATACTAGGCAATAAGAGAAACTGTTGTCATGTCAGCTTTCTTTGTGTCTGACAGCAGGGCAGATCTGATTCTATATAGCTCACCTCTGACAACAGGCAGAAATCCTGGATAAGATTTTTTTTCCAGAAAGAGATTATTTAATATCTATCACACCTCTCCATGCTAAACCCACATATAGTCGTAGATTTACCTTTTTTTTTTTTTTTTTTTTTTTTTTTGACAAACCTGCTTCATTTCAGGGGAAAGGAGTCCCAAGGCAACGTCTGGTTCCAGGTTTGTGTGTTTCATTCCCACCACAGTGAATTTTTCTAGGTCTAGTTGTCGGAGGATCTTAGCAAGGCCGCGGGCCCAGGCACCAGGTTTGATGAGCAACACTGTGCAAAGAACCTGGGCTCCTGTAACAAAGCACATAACAGCAATATTAGCTTATTGAGATGGACATCTACAGGGCTGGACCACCTAGCAGCTGACATGTGGTTTATAGGAACTTGAGTGAATCAAACAGCTCCATAAAAAAAGATGTGGATACACAGCTTTTCAGTTAAAGATGTCCTTTCAGTTAAAAAAACATATACCCAGAATAGTCAGGGCTTGTAGATTTGTTTTGCAGGAAATCTGCTCTGAGAGTCCAAAAGGTTTATCCAGCAAGTCTGTAGAGTTAGACTAAGTCTCTTGTATTACATATAAATGTTTTAAACAGGATAAAAATTTCCCTTTTCCCTTTTTCATATGAACTGTACTGATTATATGAGGTAATCCTTAAAGCGGAAATCAAATTTTTATTCCTCCTAACTTCTTGAAGTTTTGCATCTGCTCAGATATGTTTTAGAGAAGATTAACAAACAAGTACAACAGACCCCAAGTAATGTTACAAAACTAATTATGGACTGAATTCTGTTTATTAAACCTAAAAACTCAGCAGAAAAACTTGTTTTTGACAAAGCTCTCCCAGCAGGGTTGCCAGCCAGGCTCCGTGTGCTATCAGAAACAGAGAACAAAATGGACCAAAATAGTTTTGCTGTCTAATGATATAAAATGTATTTAAGGGCAGAAAACCCCAACATTTTTGTATKTAAAGGACAACCTTTTCAAATTATTAGTTTCAGTAATGTAAAGCACTGTAGTGCTGAGAATATAGTTAGGATTTTATCCTAATAACATCCTTTGAAGATTTATTGTAATAGTAGCATTGGAACCAGTCAGCTAGGACCCATTTACTGCTGTTGCCCTAGTATGCCAGTTAGCATGAGGCATGAGGTAACAATACTGCAGGCTGCTAAAATTGATCCATGATTATCTGTTTGTGTACATAAAATGTCATTTTATGTTTCCTGTACACCGCATTACTAATTATACAGATGTCAATGCACTGAAGCATCAACAATGCTGCATAGAGTTCGATGCATACTGTTATTTTCAATTGGCAAGAGGCATGTTGCTGATTCATGACAAAGAAATCTGGGATTAAATATAAAAAGCAAGAGTTCTGCCCCTCGTTTGATATCAGAACTTAACCCTTATCCTGCTGGGAGCCCTCCTATTAAAGATCTGCTCCTCACATCATTCTTGAACTGAAAGGTTTAAATGCCATAGCAACAGCCTGTAAGTGCAGCAGCAAGCCTCTTGGATCCACTCAGCTGCTAGCACACAGAATGCAATCTAAATTGTATACTGTTACATAAGTGTTCATTGTCCTCAAGATGTTTTACTCACCATCTGCTATGGTTCTGAGCAAATATTCTCATTCTTGTACTACATGAATCACCACTATACATGCTGCATATTTATGTATTTTATAGACACTTCAGGGGGGATTTATCTTATCTCACTTTACCATCTCCTTGGTTTGGTTAAAGGCAAGAGWCTAACACAGGTAGGGCCCTTTGCCCTGCAAGAGTTGGATTTCTCTCCCAGTGACTATAAGAAACTACAGTCGGATAAAATATCTCTAACCATCAACACAAAACAGTCTCTACTGATCGTGAATTGACGGCTCTCAAAAATGCTTCATTTCCACCTCCAGTTCTGGCTGTTTTGTGGCCTTTCCAGATCTGGTTATGTTTTATGGTCTTTGTTATGTTTTTCTGCTCCATAGTACTTTTAAATCCATTCCTCAAAGCTGAAGTTTTTCTCAAAAGAAAGTACTGACATAAGCTTTTTTAATATCTCAAGTTTTAGATATGTATGTATTTAAAGTGTAATGAAGAAAAGTACTAGATTTCCTGATACACTTAGGAAAGACAATGTATATCACTGCCTTTTCAGGCCTAAGGAAATACTTGGTATTCTAAATTTGCCTTTTGTTTTTTCTGACTCTTCTAGATGAAAATTTCTGGCCAAGCCCACTTTTTTTTTTTTTTTTTCCCCAATTCGCCCTTTTCTCACCTGTTTGCAAATAGGTGAAGAGTGATTCCACATGACATCTCCAGGTCTCACCCACTAAATAAGAAAAGCAGATATATTTGGTAAAAGATATGCATGTTCTGGAACTGCAATTTGCGTATACCACCACCAGCTCTACATAATGCAACCAGTATATCTATGACATACTCTTATTTTAAAACACCCCACAGAGACATATRTGGCTTGATTTTGGAGATGGTGGGAATTCCGATGTACTGTGAGATCCTGGGAGATATGCTGGTTACAACATCTCCAGTCTCCCAATAGCATATACCAAAAGGACAASAAGTGCTCAAGTATGTTGGTCTGACACACTTGGGAAATGTGCTCTGGTTTCTTTCATTTGTCTGTCGGGCAGTAGTGCCCAAAACATTTCACCTCTCTAGCTCTCAGATACCTACTCTGTAAGAAATGATGCAACTTAACTTCAAGGTGTACAACTGAAAAATGCTACAAATGGGCTGGGCTTATTATTTTCATCTGTATTTCAAATCAGCTCTAGATAAGTTGTCCAGACAAGTGGGAAAGACTGTGTAGAAGAAAGATGAGCTACTATCTAGATGACCCTGGTAAAATTAGCTTCCCCCAATATCAACTATACTCCTCTGGTCTTTTCTCCATAACTGTAATTACATTGTCTAACCAAAAATTACTAATTTCATGTTGATGACTGTGACAAAGGATGTACAGCTGTTTGCTTTTTTTTACATCTGTTTTATGAATATAAAGCTGTTTTTACTCAAGAGGCACATACTTCTGATCCTATCTTCAGCCTTAGACCTCTTGCCAGGTGGTGGCAGTACTTCATGGCAGGGCGGTGTTCTGCATCTATAAAATGAGAGAGATGTTTTTATGGATTCACAGTCAGAGGACATTCACTGTTTGGGGGAGGAGGCAGGGAAAGGTAATTATATTTAATTGGGAGAGTAGGGATGCTGGGCTTTGAACAGTTGAAAAACACGTAAGAGCTATTCTCAAGAACATCCCCTCCTCTTTTTCCTCACAAGAGCAGCAAAAGCAGAAGGGAAAAATGCAATAGTCTTATAAAAAGCAGAGCGCAGCGTGCTGGAGTCGTAGGTAAGGTATTGTCTATGTTTCTGTGTTCTTGACAATGGCTTAGATGGGAAAGGGAAGATTTTCCTTAGATGGGAAAATCACAACTACAGCCTCCCTCAGCTAGCTCATCTTACAGCTCGACTTTTTTTTTTTTTTTATCCTGGTGTTTGGTCTCAAGTTAACTTCAATTAAGGGCAGCACTGCATGAATGCTTAGACTTTATTGCACTAACTGGAGCTGTTTGATACCTTCTCTCTTTTGGAGGCCTCCTCTCCTTGCTCTCCAATCTTACATAAAACACTCCCATATTTCACTGTCAGATCTACCTTTTATGAGAACAGAATAGATATCTTGGACTAGCCACCATCACATTCTCGTCTTTGTATTCAACAAAGCCMCTTTGCTATTCTGCACTACAAATGCTGCTGGTTTGACACAGCATATAAGTTTGTGTTGACAACAAAGAGCCTTCCCTCACCATGAAGAGATAGGGGAACAGCTATAAATTACAAAGTGTGAATGTGCTTATGAAACTGCTGCTTCCCTCTCAGCTGACACATGGAATTATCACAACCTTGATTTATCTCTGTGTCCAAATAATCAAAAATTGTCAGGCTCAGAACTGTTTATCTTCTAGTGTGAGGAGTTAGGCTTCCCAAAGAACTTAAGCAATATGCCAATATGCTTCCCATTAGAAGAAAACAGTGGGAGCTCATACTCTGCTGCTCCAAAACATGCAGTGTGAGCACCACCACTGTGTGCACAGTGACTTAGTTTAAGGAGGTGTGACTTGCTACTAGAGAAAAACAGCAGTTTTACTATGCAGAAAGATCAATTGTAGCAGGTATCACTGGGGTCTCAGAAGCTATTAACAACAAAGGTCTGTGTTCGTCACAAACTGTTCATTCTTCTCCGGGATAAAAAAAATCTGCTTTCTTCTGCGAGAGCAAGAGGAGTTACAGTTTCTCAACACTACTCCTGGCCCTCAGAGGGAAAGCTGGAGAGAGCAAGAGGAAGCAATTTTGTATRCATATGAGAAACCAGGAGGTCAGACTAAACTTTACGCTGTTCAAGCATGCTGGAACATCTAAATGTTTTTATGGATGCTTCATTAATACCTGACCTGCAGAAAAGCAACCAAGTCTCTTATTAGGGCTACCTTTCTCAGCTCAGAGGTAGGTGGCTAATAAAGGTTCTGACCTTAGCAGATGGCTGCTTTAGGCCTTTTCCGTGGTCAGTGCAGAGAGACTGGCTACAGTCACGAACAGCACAGACTTTAGGTAAGCTGGCAGATCATTTAGGTGGGATAGATYCTGGCCTCTGTCTCCCAGTCTCTTATATAAACAAAAGGAACCCAGTAGTATTTAGCGGTCCAGCCAAGAGCTTTAATGCCTATTTAGTATTTATGGAATACCTTGACATCTTCAGAGGAAGGGAGCCAGGACATTCATAGCCATATTCAATTAAGTGTCCAAACTATAGGTAACCTTAACAAATTCCTGCTGACTTAACAAACCTGATCACTCAGCCAAGTGCAGAATTAACCCCAAATTATTGTCAATGCGTTTTCATGTGCCTTAGTAGAACCCACGACAACAGATTCTTTTGTCCAAGTTGAATAAATTCCCAAACTCCCTCTCAGTAAGAGCATTACAAACAGTAAAATCAAGGCTTACCAGTTACAAAATCTCTCTCTGTGAAGAAAAGGACAGCTTGTCTGAATGTCATCTCTGGGGTCAAGGCCATTACTCTCTGTAGAACACWGTTACTTTTGCCCAGCTTCTCCCTGCACGGTGGTAACCTCTCCAACGTGTCTGCAAGAACTTTGATGGCATTGATTCGTCGTAAYGCACAGACAAGCACTGGGTTTGACATGAGTGTCTCAATGCTTCTTTGCCAGGAAACATCTCCCACCTCAAAAGGGGTTATTTCTCTAGCCTGACTTCGAGTGAGGTGGGGGAGCCACTTCAGACCTAGAAGCTCAAATCCTGAATCCGGTTCTTCTGCAAGTCAAGAGAAATCTGTTTATTATCATCTAACAGTAAATGTTTCATAGAATCCATGCTTTTCTTTTGGAGATCATTTTTCTAAATTTCCACTCTTTTTTACTAGGCAACCACTTCTGAAGTTGCTTTGACTCCACTCCCTCTCATATCCAGAAAAGAGTGTAATGCAGATATAGAAACACAGTGGGAAACACCACACACCGCAACTGCTAARAAATTGCGCTGAAAACAAAGAATGGGCTATCTGGGAAATCAGCAGGGAGCCATACAAAATAAGTGGCATGATTTGATTAGAAAAAAAATGCCTAATGAAGAGGAGTTGAAAGGGAAACATTGAGAACACAATGATAACAACGTGCTTTGACAGAGAATAATCTATAATGACAGATCCCATATCACCTCTCATAATAGTCCACTTTAAGCTCTACGTATTACAGTAATCACCYACAATTTAATGCTGACTTGTCTGCAAAATAACTTAAACTTCATGTTTGCAATGTGGTCTTACTTCCAGTGTAGCAAGAGACTTAGGGATTCATTTAATGACTKCAAGTCACTGGAAGTTTCTGTCAGTTAAGATCTTCCTGGCCTGCTGTGATATGGATCTCACTGTACAGTAGTGGTTCAAGAGAGCAGGATAAAGCACAGTGTAAGCCAAGGYGCCACACTTTTGCCCTTTGTTAGTACATCATCTCGTTTATTACACTTTGGCACAATCTGTATCATGAAATTGTCTACACCATCATCCTTCTTAGCACTTGACAACATGCTTCACGTATGCATTTGAAGTCATTYAATGTAGGTGGCTACTGTCATTATTCCTTGTGTTCACATGAAGTGATGCACAAGGAGGTGAGGTGTCTTGCTTCTGATCACACAGGACACTAGTGGCCAGGGGAGCAGAATTTATGCCTTATTTCCTGTCACTGTTCCCTGCTTTCACCACTGCATTACCTCCTGTATTTAGGAAGGGACAACACAGTCTGGATTACATGGAGATCTGTACCTTAGTATATCTTTGAACTGAGRATGCTGTCCACCTGAGTCAACATGCTGTTGCAATATGCAAGTGGCCTTGCCCATCACTACCCAGCCACAATAGATTCTTCACTGCTTTAGGCAGGCRAGCAAACCTGTCCTTCCTGAGGCACCTTTCACCACACATTTCTTCATGTTCTTGCTATAACAACACCTGGATAGACTAGATTTTCCTGACCCACCTCCGCAGCCCTCCCAGGAGCTGGGATCACCTGCATTGTGAGGTTGCTTATTGCCCTCAGGAAGAAGGATCTGCTGAAGGAGTTCTCCAGCACTCTTCATGGCGTCCATTCCGATCAGTGTCAGCATGACAACTTGCTCCATCTCAGGCTCAGAAGCATATGTTCGATTGCACAAAACATCCAGAGGAATGGTACAGCAGTCTGGCACTGCACTGGGATTGCCTCCTGCCCCAAGAGAGCAGGAAAACAAACTTAAGTTACCTCAGAAAAAAATGATTCTCTTTAGCATGAAGGAATGGACTCATTGAGTACTGGGCAACAAATCCAGTACCTCACTGTGGTATTGCTTCTCATGCTGCAGCTTCKCATGGCCAAGCAGCAAAATACGTGAACGAGGACATAACTATCATTCCCTTGAAGAAACAATTCTATTCTCCATATTTATCAATGTTTCAATCTTCAATCAAAAGATTAAATATTTAGAATCAGTGCTTGTTTATCAGGCACTCTTGGATTTAAAAGTCTGCAATTATAGCAATTAAGGATTCAGGATCCAAATCCCTAAAAGCCCCATGAAAATTCTCCTGTGTGCATAATGGATCATCCCTAAACACTATATGCATTTTTTTTTCCCCTGCAGCAGAATGGAAAGGATTTGATTTCAAATTTTGATTGGATTCTCATCCTCATCTTTTGAGCCCACTCTGCTACCCTGTGTAATACAACATTATTCAAATGTAATCCACATATGGAAATGTCCATTCTTTTCTTTACATAGCATACATGGCCAAGAAGGATGTGAATCCTTACTAATGAATCATGGCCCTTAACTGGACTTTCCTTTTTGCCATGTGAAACAAATGTATTCAACCCTAACTTTGACATCCTTATTCATATTGTCAGGCAGAGCAGATAGATTTATACCAATATGATTTAGGGTATCAGCTGCAGATCAATAACTAATGACTGCCTTCACATTAAATATTTCCTTTTACTCTTTCGTTTAATCTTTAGATTGCACTGCACACGATCCCTAGCTTCATCAAAAGTGTGTGTGATTTCATACTGCTACACTAAATAGCTTAAGCAAATGCATAGTTGAATGTTTATTTTTTTATTCTTACCTCTTACTATTTAAGTACTTAGTACTCTTAACATTTCATAATAGTAGAGAATGCTGAGTGACACACATTAGATTATTTTTTACTTATAGCCTATGCATATTTGCAATTGGTCAGCAATTTAAAATTCCAATATGAAAGCTGCAGAACATGTAAGAAAATATTACCTGTAGTTACTGAAATAAACTAGTTAGTTCTGATTCCATGGCCTCCCAGTGTTCAGAAGTGGTAGGTCTAAGACTCTCATACTCGTCTGAGTCAGATTTATAAACAGAAAACAAGTTTACTTGTTTTTTCAAGTGTTATCGATTTCTCRGGTTTAAATGAACTAGTTACTGAAGTGAATTCAGCTCTAAAAACCGAAATTAAGAACATCTGAGTAACATGAAATGAACAAGTGCCTTTTCTGCACCTACAGCTGCCAACATTTATCCCTTTAGCAAATTCCAGTTTTACATGCTTAACCAGCAACTTTCCCCATTTTAATATTGACTTCCCTTTGAAACTACTSCAGTAAATACATATTGATTGAGTATTATTCTTTTAATTATGGTAGGCTTAAGGCTTAATTGGTTGTTGTCAGGTCGCATTTGATTTTAAATAGATTTTTCAGTATTTTTTAATTTACATTACAAAACATATTTCCATATTGCTTTTCCATTGATCTTTTGTTCACCACCCAGCTGTAGAACACATCTCATGCGAGTCATTATTCGGTATGACTAAAGGACATCAGAATGCTAAATGAGTTAGTGCAGAAAACAAGCATATTCCTAATGTTCTTATTCTGGGAAATTCCCCAGTAAAGTTGTCAGACTTTATAGAAGGCTGATCAATGCATTTGCCATAGCTTTGACCTACCCAGTGTCTGTAGCAAGGTCTCAGTGTAAGGAGCCACATGGAAAAACGTGGAAGACTCCAGCCCAGTGGCCCATGAGCTGCTCTGCCCATCTCCAAGAAGGTCGTGTTTCACCAGCTCATTTGTCAGGGCTACGTATAGAACAAAAGAATGTGATGAATACAGAACTCTCAGATGGAGTGTGAAATAAAATATGCTTCTTATCAAATATTTTGAGTCATCTAGCCAGGGTAGCATTACAGAGGCTTTAATCTGGGTCATGCTGAGCTCACCTGTGATATGTGAGATGTGCTCCCACCATCCCTTCTCCCCCAGGACTACAAGTCATCCTCCTACAGCAGGTCAAGGGGCTTTTGAAAAGCTGAGGCTTGGCCATTGCTTTCTCTGGAGACACCTTTGCTTTACCACCAGCACTCAGCTGTCTTATAGCCTTCTAACCCTGCTGTGGAATGCAACTTTTCATAAAATAAAGATTAAATGAAAAGTTGTGCGTGCAGCTCTTGAATTCTAAGCATCCTGAGTAAACTGGAGTGCAAGGAAAAAAAAGTCACAAATCTTGAGCTCAATGTTGGAGTGCAGGCCCTCCAGATCAGCAGCAATGCCAGTGTCCCACATACTACACAACACAGATGGCAACAGAAAGCCTGCTAAGATTACAGTACCCAACAGAAGTGTCATCATGTCCCATTCACATTTCTGTCAGGAAAATACCTGCTTCCATCCCACTTTCACAAACATTAAGTGCCTGAAACCAGCAATCCCTCAGTTCACATTYTCCCTTCAAAGTGCCAGGTTATGCACTATCAGCAAATGAAGGTACTGGCACGTAGCATAATTTCATAACAATTCATTCAATATCCTGCACTAACATTTCAGACAACAGCTTTAAAAGTTTGTTTTCAAATTATTTTGTATGCATTGSAGGCTTTTTTTACTATACACGTCTGACAGCAATTTACTGTGGCATAGGATGGGCAGTGGATTGTTAGCACCAGACATAGACGGCAGGCCTCATATGCCACCCAAGGCACTGACAGATATTGGAGCTAGCACCAGTGACAATCACCTACCTGCTTTTTAAAATTCAGATGGCACATGCAATTAAAGAACGTGCCATTATTACCCCAGAGTTCTACCTGCTGCCTCTTCAAACTCAATGCCTGTCAGAAACAAAGTTCATAAAAAAAATCTGTGGGGCTTGATCCTCAGCCTGTRGATCCACTACATAAAGACACAGATATCTGTGCTCAAGTTCATATGATGGCTGAAGTTTGCCTTGCATGGAAATTTGAAGTGTTGGAGCATGAAGCGGTGACTGCTTTTCCATGTTATTGTTTAAAAATGCAAAAATTGCRTGCAGTATTTACCCTACTCAATTCCTAATGCTTTTCTACACTCCCCAAACAATAAACAGAAGCTTAGGTGAAAAGAGTATCAGTTTCCACACTGCAGGGCTCTGGAATAAACTACCTTTATGGATCTGTTCTCAAGCAATAACAGATAACAAGAAAGAGACATTTGCAAAATCTGTCTACAAAGACAAAAATACTGTTCTCAAAACCGAAATCTTTCCTTTTGTAGAATGAACTTTGTTTCCAGTGTCTGCCTAGATATTTCTAGCACAAATTTCCCTGAACAAAACAAAAACTCTGCACATCATCTGTGATGCTCTCTCTGAGCTGTAATTCCTTAATGAGGAACTTGCCCCAGAACAGAGGYTGCAGGTGATGCAGCATTACCTTTTAGCAAGGCAGGAACATGATGACTTGCATTCTCCTTTCTCAGCAATAAAATTAGACAGTGCCTGCGTGGCTCAGCACAAAGTTCACCTCCTTCAGAGTGGCTATCAGCTGAAATTGAAATCTTGCTGGGGCAAAATACAGCAGCCTGAAATAACGAGGGACAGATTAGACGACTAAATCCAGGTTTAGACACTACTGGGCTCAAGCAAATGGTCAAGTTACAGCAGTCTAACACGGCAGAGCACTACAGCTGAGCCATAGTAACTTCCTGTAACCATGTGCTCATRCATCACCTATTCATAAGACTGAGCAGCTTAATCTAAACCCCAGGGCAAGAGTTTAATATAACATGTTTTGCCCTACAACGGGGCTAGGCTAAGTGCACAACAGTTTTATTAAAGTTCATAGTATCACCATCYTAAGTAACTTATGCACAAATGACTTTGAGCCTAAATGACTTCTCAAAAACACTCTGCATCAGAGACTCCATTAAGGCACTAATTGCCCTTTCTGCTCTTAACTTCTGAAAAGGCTATTTCCATGTAGGAGCCCTGTTCCAAATATTTGGCTACTTTGGCTATAATATTCAGTGAATAAGAGTTATGATTATTCTAAAGGACATTAGAGGCAGGGAAAACGTTCTTCCTCGGGCTTAACCAGCAGGCAATCAGAACAGAGAGGCTTTGTACACAATTCAGCAATGTTAGTTTGCAAAGATGCATTTCCTGATTCACTGAGGAAACAACCTTAGCATGATGGCAAGAGATTTAAAATAAGAGGTGCCCCACTTTGTAAGAAAAAGGCTCATAGGATTCACTGGATGATTTATCAAGAAAGAAGTGCAGAAATTGACTTCTTGCATATGTAAATTTGACTGTTGCATATGTAAGCTTGACTGAAAATCTTGCATTTATGATTATTTCTGTTTCCTTGGGCTGGTATGTCAAAACGTCAAGTGCATTCTAACTCAAATAATCTATCATTATTGCACACAGCTTCAGAGAAAAAGAAGAAATCCATATTGTTTTTGACAACAGAAAAGCTCTTTTTATAATCTTTATGAATATATAAAACTAGCGGACTCCTATATACTGAAAGCCCATAAGCAGTCCTGGAGTGACTGTAAYGTACATAATCACACACATTATGCTGTTAGATAAAGCCTGTTCTCCTAAAAAACAGGTTCACAGGTCAAAAATTGTTGTTTTGGTTTATGGGGCTACTGCCTGCTCTTGCTTATTTTGAAATCAATGGAAAAATTCATGTTTGCCTTAGTAGAAAGAGGCCTGATCATGAACTTTCACCTCTGCTCAAAGAGACAGACTGGAGCCTGGTGTGATTTTCCTACTAAAGGAACGAAAACAGTACTGAAAGCAAGCAGAATAGCAATTGCAGGAACACAGGGAACAGGAGTGCTGACTTGCTGCTAAAGAGATAATAAGCAGCCTCAGAGCACTTACTAGAGGAGTGTCAGCTCCCACATCCACAGGGTGAGAAAAAAAACAGAGATCACCCAAGCATGACATGTATTGACAAACAGCTCCAAAATGAAACATTCTTATTGTTTAAAAGACAAACAAACAAAAAAAGTCAGGATTTTCCACTACTAAACACAAACTATTCATAGTTCCACTTAGCTCTGCGTAGGCTAAGGAATGGTGTAGCGTATAAATGCCATCACTGCCCAACCTTCTCCCACATTCATTCTGGCTGCTTTGAATATGCACTGTGGTAGTAACACCAGCGTGGCTGAGATCCCCTTCTGGCTAGGGCAGCATAGTAAATAAGGTAACTAATTTAAAGCATTAAGGCACATTAAGCTTTACTTGATTTAGGAGAAATGCTCTGATGACAAATTGAGACAAGATTGCAAAGTGAGTTTCCCAATGCAATCATATCAAGTTGAGGAAAACTACTGAAAAATGCAGCGATCAGAGGAATGTCACAAAGTTAAGTTGAAAGTTTACGCTGTAGTTTTAAAAACCTTAGGATGACTGATATCCTAGAAGGTCAAATTTCAACAAAACCATATAAAAGTCAGAAATCCTTTCAAGAAATTAAGAATAGAAAGCACTTTGCTCAGTATGACAGCAAAAATAGAGTTTCTGAATAAGCAGTAACCCAAGATTACAGGTAAGCTCTGTGTTGTGGCCAGTACCTGACTTGTTGTCATGCTCAGCACAAGGGCTTGCTTGGGGGAAAGCAGCAGCTGTCTGACTCCTTGCAGAACAAACCCCCGACGAGTACAGGCTGAAATCACGGTACCGTAGGTATGAGGTGATACCACAGGTGACACCAACAAAATGATGTCCCCTAGATCAAAAAGAGGGTAAGAAAAGCAGCATATTATTTCTACAGAATCTGTAGCCAATCTCATAGTGGCCAACTCCAACTGGAAATGCATCCCAAATGGAGATACCACATTCCGTGATGCGCTCTATCCAGCCCATAATGACAGCTATACAAGGCCAGATGAGAACAGAAAAGCTTATAGAAACATGAAAATCTCTTTGTGAATCAACTATTGCAGTCAGTCTGGCTCATCAAGCCAGTCTATGAGCTATTCCTCTCTTTGAAGTATCCATCCAGCTGCCTATACTCTTGGTTCATGAGAGCTGCGTGTCAGCCCCTGCCAGGCTCTGCTTGGACATCACAAGTACTGCCAGCAATCTGACAGCAGCGAGCTCCCTGAAAGCCCAAGGACCTGGCAAGCTGGCTGTGTTGGTGAGCAGCTGAATAAGGCSAAGACTAACTTTATCCACTCCAAGGTACATGAAGCAACTCCATCAGTGCTCTCTGCTCTTACTGGTCGCCATTGTCTGTAGCTACAGTCTTCTTCACCGCTACCTTTGGCTTCCTGTCATCTTTTCTTTGGCCCTGTCTTATGTCCATCCTATGGCATAGGCTACTGAGGCTTTGGATCAGCCTCTGATCATGACCCAACTSCATTCTTGTCTGGTACCTCTGTGGCCCCACAAGTTCCTGACCTTGGTCATCATCATAACATCAGCSTTCCTTCTCTGCTTGAGTTTCTTTTGAACCTTATAGAGGGGTTGGGCTGCCTGTGTTGGGCTTACATCCCTTATCCCAGTAGCTAAGTTTATATAAACAAAAGAGTTTATGCTAGGTTAGAAACTAGGGTTTACACACTCCTATTTTCTAAGCTGCAGGCTCAAGGCATTGCCAACAGGGTGGCAATACACACTACAGCATGCTCAGCAAACACAGACACCTCTCAAGTAGCATCTAGGGGCCATCTAAGGCCTACGACATTGCTCAAGGCTTTTCCATGARGCCTCTGATCTAAGGTCCTTGATTTGTTCTAATACCGTCCTTAGTCTCTGCTCTTGCTACTGCTTTTAGTATTATACTCTTCTAACCCTACGATAGCTTTATYCTGTACACAGGGTACATTCAGATCCATAACCTTCCAAGAAAGAGCTCTGAGAAGATATATGCTTCATAATACGCTACATTGCCCTGTTAACTTTCCTTAGCTCTGACAAAATTACATAATAAGGTTGGAAGTATTTTAGTCTCTGTGCTCCAGTAAAACTATCAGCTTTGAACATTTCTTGGAGCTGTGTTCTTTGTGATATGGATATCTACCTCCCAAAACCTGACCAGGCCTTAGCCTGCTACTTCAAAGCCATGACAACAGAAGAGGGAAAACTTGTGTTTATTATCCAGGATGGGATGGGCAGGGCACTTTTCCTTAAAATTTCTATATGCCTTTCATTTTATATGCTCTGAGTGCTACATCCATCATACCTGACAAAACTCAATGTTATAGATGGTAAGACTTTTACCTCTCTCAAGTTGAGAGCATTTAAATAAATGTATTTCACATAAACATACCCCAAATTAACAATCATATTTCCTAGGGTCAGTAGTAAAGCTTTGATTCCTGTGAAGGGGCAGCAGCATATTTGTTCTGCATGCTCTTTATGCTGGTCCTCTCTCCCAGAGGAGCTACACAGAATGGCTAAGCTTGGAAGGAACCTCTAGAGATCATCTAGTCCAACCTTCCTGCTCAAGCAGGAACGCCTAGAGCATGTGGCGCAGGGTAGCTACCAGACACCTGGCATAAGAAGTCAGTGAATATTTCCTTTCCTTAACATTCCCATAGGGTTTCTGCTCCCACACCAGCTTCTCCAAGTCATGATACAGCTATCTGAGGAGCAAGGGTTGGAATTGACTTCCTGAGCCCAAATGCAGATGGAACGTGGTGTGGTGTAACTCAGCAGCCCACATCAAATGTGAATCATTAATGGCCATAAAAGGAAGGGGAGGCAGAAAATGTGACTCATTCCATCAGCAGCAACCAGCTGCCATCAATACCAATCCCAAATAACATAGTCAATGGCTGTCTGCCAAGCTACTTGAGTTAACATGCCCACTCATACCAAGGAGTGTAGCTCAAAAGGTGAGAATTTCCTTTCTTTCCTTATTTTCTTCTCTATTTTCCTGTCCTCCCCTATGTCACTTTTCCTTCCTGTTTTGGGTTTATGCCTGCATTCTTTTCTCAAACTTTCTGTCCTTTGGCAATTTCATCTTATGTTTCTCCTTTCTATGCCAGTGTAACCCTATTTTCCTCCTGCCATCTTCCCCCTAACAGCTGCTCAGCTTCCATAAGTCTTTTTTTCAGTGGAAATAGCTTCACTCGTGGGAGTAGAAACAGGATAGCAATGCTCTAGTAGCACCATCTCAAAACCACTTGTGCTTTGCAGAGATCAAGCTCTAGAGAGACTCAGCTACAGAGTGCCAGCACACTGCTCTACATCAGACACCTCCATATCTCACAGGTCCTTCTTAGCCTGTAAGGTCTGCATGCCTTGGCACAGTCAGCTTGCTGCTAGGTAGTAATTCAGACAGTGGAAGGCTACTCCCACAAAGGAAAAAAGGRAATTTTGGCAGAGAAGCCAGCTTTATAAAATGCTTTAATTTTTGATGGAGCCATTTCATCCAATAGTTATATTCACCTCCTAACCAGCAGAGGCAGACAATCTCTAAACAGATAAATATGCAGTTTAGGACACTGTTCAACTCTTCACAGAAATGTTTTCTTGATAAATATGCTCCTATGAGCAGAAATTTCCTGGGTTTTATTCTTATCTTTCAGTGAAATCCAAGTAGCCTAGAGGACTCTAGTAGCTACTTCCATGAGGAASAGAAGATCATAATACTCCTCTGTCCCTTCATTTTAGGCAATAATGTTTCAGTGCAGACTCATTCCTGGATCTAGACCTGGCCAGGTCACAACACAGGGAAATCCAGGGAGACAAATTTCCTGAAACAGGTAGGCTAGATCAAGGAAATATTGTGAAATCTCAGTATTTGTTCCCTATCAGTGACCTTTGGTGGTTGCAACGAGTGTTGCAGGAGCTTGAGACAGCAATGGACCCTGCAGAAGAACCTTTTCCTCCTCCTCTTCTGCTCCAGCTGATGAAGAACTCTGAGGTCTAGAGAAAAAAAAACAGCAAGCATTAAAAGTTGTTATGCCAGGCTCTGACTCTAGTCCACTTTCTACAACAAACCAAGACCACAGAAAGTGCTCTGGTAAAAYTGCTTTACTGGAAAAACATTTTGTTCACTTGTCCCTGACATAAGCTACATCAAGGTCTCTCCRACTGAGTATTTTCCAACATTACCACTCTAAGGCTCTCTGTGTTCAATTAAAAGTTGCTAATGCAAAGTGATCAGCTTGGCAAGGATATGTGGGAATCCAGCCATACAAGACTACATTACCAAAGTTTTTTCTCCCTGTAGATATGTCTTAGTTACTATTTAGTTGTGGTTTAGTAGTCAGAATCTAGGCAGTTTGAAAGCTACTATGATGCTCCTCTGGCATTTCATGTTCAGCAACAAGCACAATCAAGCCTGGCAGAGATGTTTAAGGGCAATGAAATATCAACAGCATTCCTGCATACCTAAAAGGACCAAACGATGGGATGGTGAGTGTAAGTTCTTAGGTGGGGGGCTGCCAATAACAGAACTAGAGTCTGCAGAACACAGGCTGCTCAGGCAAACCTGCCTGCCTCYGCCCCTGCCACCGAGCACCCAGCACTGGAGCACAGCCTGCTTGTTCACTCCCTGCAGGATCTGCTGCTGCTTGCAAGTGAAAGCCAGAAAACAGAACACGGACGTGTAGTTTGTATTCTAGCCTCCCAATGGATGAAGTTACCAGCATTAAGACTGGCTAGTTATACTATTATTCAATTTAGTAATAATAACAGCAGAAACCTGGGGCGTGAAGATCCCTGTATAGGGGCAGCTATCCCATGCAATTGCACAGGCCTGTGCAGCAAACATGACAGCCAGGGAGAGGCTGATTCTCCTGATCAGCAGAACTTTTTTTGCAGCYCTAAGCTAAAGCTTTCCATGAAGAGCTGTAAAACAAATGTTTCAACCCATAGCCATTGCATCCATGCTTGCAGCAGCCAGAGGGGTGCTCCAGAAGCCAACAGAAGACAAGTGCCTCTTCTCTTCCTCTCCAGGCCAAAGTACTCTCAGTTTCTTATAATAGTTGGAAGAAAACAGTTTCTGAGCAAGCAGAGCACTTTGCTTGCACATTAAATGTGCTTCCCGGATTCTTGTATCTGAGTCTCAGCCCAGGAATTTGCAAGGCTGCCAGGAAGGGATGTGATTCTTTCACACTGTGGAAAGTACTCATATCTTCATGGAAAAGACCCAGGCAGCTTTGGGAAAAGCACTGGGAAGGAGTTTTGCAAGAGTGTCTAGGCTACCCAGCCAGCCTTCTGTCTCTGTGCAGGGGGAAGATGGTGTGAGCACCACTCAGTACTGGCTTCCACCAAGCCAAACAGAAGTTTTTGTCCTTTTTCCAGCGTTTTCCTGATGCAACTCTGCTCTGCTAGGTAAGACCAAGAACTGACTTCCAGGCAGCCCAACATCAGTGTTATAAACCACACAAGTTCAAAAATAAAATCCATGAGATTCTGCTCGTCTTAGGCAGAAATGGATTTAATAGGAGGCTTTGGGTGCTGAAGTTCCCCTCCCTGCAGCATCACCCAGCAGAGCTCTAGGTTGCATGACAGAGTAACAGCTGCTTAGCAATCCAATTCACTCTGCAGCCACATCCAGCCCTTCTGAGAGCAAGAGTCCTGACTTGTGAACCTTCCTTGTTCTCAACTCTGTATGACCCCCTGTTGCTATGCTCTCAATTCCTAAACTGTGCTTCTCATGCTGACGGCTACCATTAAGATTTTCCAAGTCACATTTAGTTTTCATATCCTTTTACCCGATTCCTCCAAATAACTTTTTCCATTTGAAACTCCAAATGTCTGAACAGTTCATATGGAASGGATGTAAGGCAAAGTTATGTCTGGAGATCAGGGCTTCTGGCAAAGTATCCCTCAGGGGCAAATAACCTCATAGCATTTCTCCAGCTCCAGGTGCTACTGGATGTCTCAGAACAGGGTGAACAGCCATATCTGCCACAGAAGGTCCAAGAACAGGTGTTGCAAATGTACAAAACGGGCCAGAAAAGTCATGGAAGGCAACTGTGCAAGTCCCATGCCTTGAAATACCTAATATCTATTGCAGAGGAGAAAGCCCTGTGAAAGGAGAACCTGAGCAAACTGCATTAACTCATCCAGCAGTGCAGGAACATATGCTCCAGACTGCACTCTCCTTCACCGAGAGGTGATGGTTGATGCATAAAGACTAAGCACACCAGCAATCTCCTTTTGGGAGACCTRCAATAGCTCAGAACTGTGCAAGCCAAGGCCCTCACCTTGCTCCGAGATAGCCACAAGCCGGGCTGGGGACACCAGGCCGTGCAGCAGCAGCTCTCCCTCCAAACCAGAGGCAGAGCTCCCTGTGCACACGGCTCTCCAGGCACGGCAGGTAGGCGAGAGGCTCCGCTCGGCCTCGGCAGTAGAGGCCGTTGATGGAAGCGCCGTCTGTCACCTGGGCCAGCTGGGGGTCCCAGGGGCCCATGATGTTCTGCAGGGTGCTGCAGGCCTCAGGCCCTCTTGCACCCAAGGCCAGCACGGGTGGCATCTTGCCGGTCTCTGGAGCATAGGAAGGAGGCAGTTTTTCTGTGAAAGATAACACACATGTGGGACCAAAGCACAGTGCTCCAAACTCATTCCTTTCAAGGGCTCTTCTCAGACCATTCTTCTGCTCAAATGAGTGAGTTTATCAGCAATTCCCCTCCCATTACATTTTGCCAAGGTGACAGCTTATTTACCCATCTAAGGTGAGCTTTGCTCTATCACGCTGGATTAAGATAACTCCATGGTTGCCTGTCCTGAGGGTGTTATGCTAGTGACCAGCTCTATGTTTTTACCCCCATGGTAAATCTGAAATAATTCCAGGTATTTTATCTGTCAAGGAAAAGGGTTGCCTCACATTTGCTGTGGGTAACGGGGTACACAGCAGGAGTTACTACAGAGAACTGATAGAAGGCAACACTAACTTCTTGTGCCATATCTTGCTCAGACCCTCAAGGCTGATTCTCCCTAGTTCCTATTGCAGGTGTTAGAGTTAGGGAATATCATTCTCTGCTTTGAGGTTTATACTATTTACATCATTTGTTGCATAAGAATCAGAAGCCAGAACAATAGAGCTCTGGAACAGGAAGGTAATGGAGAAACTGACTGTAAATATTTAAAATCATCGTTCTCAAGCTACAGGTAAAAATGCAATCTGCACATTTGCATAGCAATTTGCAGCTCAAATTGTCCCTTCACAGAAAGAATTCTTAAATAAGGTGCAAGGCACAAAGCACCGATGCAGAACTGCTGCCTCTCAATGACTGGTGATTTAGGKTTTTCTTATTTCACTTCTGAAGTTTTTCTTTAGCTCTCCTGTCAATATGAATGTATTATGTACACAGAGCAGAGAACAGCAACTGCAATCCCCCATCTGAGCCAGTTCCTACTGTTTCCAAGCATAAAAAGGGAGCAGGGTCACCGCAGAGCTTTTCTCTTGGATTAAGTTGGTCTTCATTCATCATCTGTTTAAGGAAAAGGAAACTTGATTCTCTCCATCTACCCACAACCTTCCCCAAAAGAACTGGATGAGATATACATGACTTCATGTCACAGGCAAGCCTTCCAGGAGAAGTCCTTGGCTTAAAACAAAGCAGCCAAATGCAGAGGCAAGCTCCACACTTGGCAGATAATGGAACGATTCTTGTTCTAGAGGTTTATTGCATTAGCAATTAATACTACTCAACACACACTGAGACAYGTTTTGCTATCTCTGTTTCACAAATGGAGAAGCTAAACACCTAAATGGTAAAGGCCAACATTTGCAAATATTGTTTTTTAATGTTAAAGGCTTTGAACTTTAACTTTAGAGACCTGTAACAGATTTCACTGGCTTTATCCTCTCAGTGACTCATCTCAGGCTATCTTCTATAGGCAAAGTGTGACATTTGGGTGATGGTTTATCATCCAAAGCAAATAGGGGATGGCTAGATCAGTTGTCTTTCAGGTGACATGCTCTTTTAGTGCTCCTAAAGGTCAAGGGAAAACTATAGACCCAGAGGCAATGGGAGGACTGAAGAAGGGAGAATTACAGGAGGTTTCTCTGTAACTGAAACCTCCAAGAAAATTAGTGAAAGGTAAATTAGTATATTTAACTCACATGAACCTAACCCTGAAGAACAGTGCAATTTGGGAAATCTCTGCACAGAAACAACTAAAGCAGCTTGAGATAAAAATACACAGAGTTAGAATACACACTATTCGACAGGGGGAAGAGACAAAGTCCAAGGTCTTATCTTATTATCTCCAAAAGAAATGATATGGGCGCATTGATAAATTGTAATTCTGAGAACCTTTCCCATGCTCACAGCACCATGTGGGTCTTCAACTTAGTACAATTACAGATCTTCACCCCAGTGCTATCCCACAGCTTAATCTTGGAAGGAAAACTAGACCTCACCTGAGCTAGAGAGCAGCACCTCATGCTGAGGATAGAGCAGGCGGAGTCCACAGATATCCAAACCAGCAGTGAGGACCAGCTGCAGCATGTGATGGACAGCAAGGGGACGGCGGAACAGGGTTTCCAACAGCAGCACCATGGCAACCTGAGCAGCAAGAGCACAGGGGAGAAACGAGCCAGGCGCTTCCCACAATGATCACACAGCTGCACCTCGCTCCTCACCTTGAATTCCCAGCCCTTATCTATATTGCAAGAGCCACAAAGAGGCTTTCTTCTCATTTATGCTTACATACAGTTTAGGACAGTAGGCTGCTAGCCTCAGACTGGATCATAACAATCTACTACTGCTAATAAAATTGTGCCTTTTGTCACAAACTTACTAATAAAGGGTTTCAAGTTATTTGGGCAGAGAATGGAATGTATCARTCCTGCTGTTTGACTGTTATTACAGAAACACAGTCAAATAATAATAGGTCAACTGGTTGTTTCTTTATACCTCCAAAAGTGCCAAAATCAACATAAGAATCAAACAGCAGACATCACTGGTACTGCTCATTAATTTATATTTTGAAATCTTCTTTCCAGATGAATTCAATTCAGCTCATCCTTGTGCACAGGAAGATATACCCTGACACCCACTGAATCTATCTACCCAAAAGGGGAAGTAAATCATCCCGAGTCCTGCACTTTCGCATCAGAAGAAATGTATTGTTTCAAGAAGCACATGCTTTACGACAGAAAGCTGTATGGTACATGAAGCTCCGCAGGTAATAAATTGTCTAGCTGTAGATCAGGCAAGCATGATTGTMTTGGCCTCAGATTTGTGCATGGTTCTCCTGTCTGTAGAGACACAGAGTGCTATCCCCAGCAAGGAGCTTTGCTGCAGTGAATGCCAAATGAAGTCAKCATTACTGGACACTTCAAATGAAATGCTACTTGTCCATAAACACATAATGAGCCTCATAACATCATGAAAAATGAAGTTACAAATATCCTCAAATCGTAAGTAGTCTAACTAGGAACAAAAGCCCTGCTTCTTTATATTTATCTAGTTCTACTCCTGGTATTAACCCATTGTTCATAACAGCCAGAAAAGAAGGATTTTTCTGTAGCTGCTAGGAGGTCTGYGAGTGTATTCCTGCCCTTGGGGATTTGGTTGCCTGGGCTCAAAGCCAGTTTGGATAATGCAGCTGTGCAGTGCTGAGAAACCTTGGCAGGGACCTTGCTCTCCTTAACTTGGGAGTGGTCTTTAAAGCTCAGGCACTTGGCCCTGGTCCCTGAGCTGTGTTGTAAGTTTGTCTGTGCCCAGCTTCATTCCTCCCTGATTCTGGCCTTGATCCTTACCTGCTCACTTGACTTTCTGGATTGCCCTCAACACTATGGACTTGCAGGGCAGCCACTGGACTCCTGTCTGACTCTGGCTGGACCTGCTCTCCTGCTCTTGCTCAGGTAGGGTGGAATTGCACCCCTGCCAGGGAGATCACCTGCCCTGCCTGCCTTGCTGTTAGCATTAGTTCTTGATCTCCTGCCTATACCACAGCACCCTGCCCTTGCTGGAGAAGTTCTGTATAAGTCCAAGTGAGGAATTGCAACAGAGACATTATGAGGTATTTCCCAGCTGTGCCAAGCACTGCATATCTTCACATCCTAATCAGGAATTTGGAGCATCTTCCAGGAGCAAGCCTGGCACATGCTAACCATTCTCAGCAACAGACTTGCTGCACTTTCAGGAAGAATAAAGTGTATCTGCACCTTCCTGAATCAATATCAAGAAGAAACTCTGTCAAGTCAAACAGCTATGCTCTTTGCTGTGTAAGAACTAAGAAGCATGAATTGCCATAGTTAATCTCATACATGGGCTGGGACCAGTAAATTCTGGTATGTGTACTTAAACTGAGGCAAATGTGATTAAATTACCATAACCTTCCCTTCTAGGCTAAGTAGAATTTCTATTTGCAGAATTACAACTCAGATAGGTACCATAAACTTCAGAAGTGTGCATCATTTTTCAGAGCTCAGTTTTTAAACAATATGTAGCATTTTTTGCAGTCATGTGGATTTGAGTTACCAAAATTTGTCCACTGCTGCYGACTGGCACCTGATCAGAAGCAATTTCTTTCACCAGAACCCTTCATAATTTAATCTTACATGACCCAGTGCAATAAGGACATTAATACTGAGGCCAAAAGATTTAGCTGATATGTTTAAGTCTGAGAAATTGAGAACAGCATTTGTACCAAAACTAAAGATTGCTATTCCAGGTCATTTTTAACTGTCTCAATTTTGCACATCATTCCACACCTCAGGAGCTTTTTTACCTCAGTGTCTGCATCTCYGCTAGCCTCGATGGTGCTGCTGTTGGGGAAATAGGTCTCAGTAGTTTCTACTGTCTGCCAGTAAAACCCAGCTGGAACTTCAAAAACCTTCTCCACGGCCTGAAATACAAAGAACATCTCATTTGTATGTTATCCTGATCCCTCACATCAAAAGCAAAGAAAAAAGTATACTTAATGTTAATAGAAGTGATAATGGCTCAGTCTAATTAGTCCAGGGTTGTTACCACACCATTTGCTTTATGTTCCATTAGTTCTAACTAAATGACAGGCCAAGAACATGAATCTGCAGTGGTGTCCGAGAGGTKGAGCAGTCCCATGGTCATCCATACGTGCAGGGCCACTGACATGAACGGGTGTTACCTGCCAAACACACCACAGGATGGAGCCCAACAGCCTGAGCATCTGGATTCTTTGGGAATGTGTTGGGCACCCAGCAGAAGGCGGTTTTGTAAAGACAGCACTCTCAAATTGTCCAAAATGAAGGGGTAGGGAAAGGCTTGTATGGATTTTTACATGCCTCTAACAAAAACCAATGCATTTTTCCTATGTTAGGTTGCTGCAAGTGCCACAGTAGCACATACACCTATGCAAACGACACTGGCCTTTGGGGCACAGCACTACAAAAACAGAGCAGTTTTCAGGCTCAGCACCAAGCAACTTGCACACGAGCACGTTTGGGGATGGTTACGATTTGTCACTTAGGAGAAACTGCTCCAACTCCACGACACAGTCCCCAAATAAACACAGCTTCTCAAAGTCATGAAGCTCTGGTTCAAGGACAAGGTGATGTTCTTAGCTATGCCATTACTGAGCACGCCAGGGCTCAGATCCATTCACGCACACGGCACAGTGAGCAGGATTCTTTCCAAGTCTAAAACGTGTCACATCTGGGACACTGGCTCAGGGGGTGCATTTCAGAGCAGCTTCACTGTTTTTAAGGCCTCTAGCTTGATTTATTGCAGGCCTGAATCAGTCCTGTTTTCTCATTTTTCTTCAGATGTTACTGAAACCTGTTCCACAGAAAGGAAATTAAATTTCAACATGGTTTGATTAAGACTTAAGGATAGAAAAATACACTAATTAAATGAAAACTTGTCCATTCTGGGTTATAAGGTACATATAATGTCATTTAATTGGGCAATCACTTGAGAAAGTTTTCAGGCTGCTTGGCAAATGATAGAAACAAACCTTCCTGCAGTTATTTAAGAACTAGAAAACAAAATTAGCCTGAACAATATTAAAAMCCCCCTGACATCTGACAGCTCCTTTCTGCTTCAGCAGCCTTTTGTGTTCTCTCCCTCCTGCGTTCCCTTCGCTTCATGGGAGATTTGCCTGGAAGCAGAACAAGGGATTTGACATTTCACCTGGTTTCGGTCAACACAACTCCACTGAAGTCAGTGTTTTGACAGCTCTCAAGGATTTGGCCATGGTTTTCTGCAATCCCTTGCTCACCAGCCTCTGCTTGCGATATTACACTTGCTTGCTGTGGAAAATACTCTCATAGAAAGAAGAACTCACCAGGGTATGGAACTAGAGGGTCCTCCTTTTCCTGTATGTGCTGCCAACTGCTGCATACAGGAGTCGCATGGTGCAGTGARCACAGGGAGACCAGACAAGCCTCACAAAACAAGACTGCAACAAGACTCCAGCCTCCCATATACTGCAGCTGTTTGTTCCTCAGAAAAGTCTAAATGCTATGAACTTTCGAGAGAGAAAAGTCAAAGGGACAACTGCCAGATTAACTCTAGCCTACTTTTCTATAGAAAGCTGCATTACAGGCACCCAGCTGCAGGCACAGCAAGGCTTAGGTAAGCCAAGGTACAATTGATTTTTATGTAATAAGACAGTGTGAGCCAGGGCACTGTGATCCTAGGCTTGCTGCCCCACGGCTTCTCTGCCCACCAGCAGAGCAGGGATCTGGCCATACCTGCTAGGGAAGCAAGGCCTCTGGAAATTGTTCCTACAACCTGTCAGACTGTATTTTCTAGCATCCAACCTAAACACGACTTCACAAAGCAGCAGAGAAAGAGCCTGGAAAAGTCTTATTAGTTCCTCTAGAAGGGCTTTTTCCTCTGGGGTAAGACCAGCTAGAGAGCTGCAGCATGACAGCCCCTGTGTGGTCTGCTCTAGCTAAAATGTGCCAAGGGAAGCAGCTTCCTGACATGGCCTTCCTATACAGTGCATGCTTTATAATGGAGCTTTCCCATATATTTACAAGAAAATCATATAGAGGTTCTTATAATGAGATGAGCCCTGTTTGGCATATAACATCTAATAAGGCCCCAAGGCAAGTTCCCMAAACTCTTACTGAAATTATCTTGATTTTCATGGCATTTATTTACATGCTGCATCAATGCTGTCGTGCAGTGTTCCACACAGACACAGAGAAGGCATGAGGATTRATTTCACCTGGGGGCTGCTGCTTCTCTTAATTACACCAGCCACACTATAGCAGTTGTAAAGCTCCTGTGCAAACCGAGCAAAGGAGAAAGCTCARCAATTAGTGCCCACCTGCACCCTGGCAGGCACAAGAAGGGATCCCTTCCCCATGCACCACTCAGAGCAGAGCGAGTCCAGCCCTTCATACCTGGCTGAAACCCTACGGTTCTGTAAAGAGCACTGAAAATCTGCTGTCTCACAGCCCAGACATTAGGCCTGCAGAAAAATGTACCCTACAGCCAGCCAGAGGGGATGCAGTAGCCCTGGGGATATTTTGGCTTATGCCGTGACAGGCTTTGAAGCCAGAGATCATTTCACCACAACCATCGCAATGACTGGGTCTCCCTGACCCACTTTAAGGGAGGAAGATTTCTTCCAGCACTGAAATCCTCTTCATCCCTATCAATACTATCAGAAAGGAGGGAAGGGCATGTCTATAATTCTGCATTTGAAGGATTTTTGTGCCTTTCTCAACTATTATCCTTTTTCTTTCTTGTTCTTTGGCAGACAAATCCTGATTTCTGCTACCTTAAGACACTGGAAAAGACTGATTAGTGCCACAGCTAGGATTGAATGCATATATTTTTCAAAAAGTGTTAAAAACCAGATTCCGTTTCAGACAATATACTGAAATGCAACACTGCGTTTACAGGAAGGAAATTCAGAACAAAAACATCTTGTAAAATATTGAGCAGAGGCGAGAATAAGAACATTTTAAAGGAGGCTGGAACTTGCATTTCAGTGGAGCTGTGTACAGCAAAAACATGAATATTTAATCATCACACAGAAATATGCCCAAATCTAATCTCTCTTCTTGCTTACAGTATATTCTGTTCTCATTTACAACAACAAAGAAATGGTTTCTGCTATTAAGTGACCTAAAGAGTCTTTTAAGTCACAACAAGACTCTTGTAGGCTGAGGAATGTTTCCCCRCCACAGCAGGAAAGAAGAAACTGAAGAGGAATCTTTACATACTCCCAAGTCTTATCCTCTTGCACTCAAGGGAGTATCTGATGCAAAAATTAGCCATTATTGCTATGGGACAGCACCCAAACCCCTTTGAGAAAAGGCTCCATTACCCCCAAAGCCAGGCAATGAATTCTGTACCTATGTCCCTTCCCTCCACTGAACACAGCAGCGATAGCAGAACTGGTCTCTGGCCCAGTGCTAACATACTAGCAAGGCTCACGTCTTGCATGATACACTAAACCCTGCCMCTGAATTAAGCTGCATTGTACTTGAACTCTCTCTTCTCTCTGTCAAATTCCACTGTGCTAGTGCAGAAGTCCTTGCAGMACCCAGACTCACACAGCAGAAGGGCTGGGGACAGAGGTGGGATATTTAAAGGCTTTGTCACCGAAGACAGGCAGTTTTGGTGACTCTTTCAGGCAGTTTGAAGTTGCTGCTCATGTCTCTCTGCCTGCATTTCAGACAGGGAAAGAGGTTTCTTAAAAACACGAAAGAAAGGACAAGACTAACTTCCAGTCTTTCTGCCCATTATCTACTATCATGCACAGTACAAACAGCTAAGCCCATTAGCTTGATAGTTCTTTTAAACTGCTCTTCTGAAACAATTAGTGATGGTCACAATTTAAATGCAAGCTATCAAATTTTAGCAAGAGTAAACAAATATAAAAGTTCATTCCTCCCCAAGCTATTTCTTCATCTCTATGCACTTAGAGAAACATCACTGTAGAGCTTTTCCATTTTAAAGTTTAGGGTTTTTTTTAAATTACAAATGCCAAAAACATAATGAAATCCTGGCCCCACTAAAAATCTATGGTGAACTCCAAAGGACTCAGCTGGGGCCAGGAGGTCACTTTCTCCCTTCCATCCTCATGCAGAAGAGGCACATCCACATCCTTAAGATCCAGCCACAAAGCTAGTCTCCATCCAATGATATATTCCTGTAAATTCATATAGATGAGGCCCCAGGACAAATGTCTCACCCACAGGTGAGTCACCTCCATATGGACTCATTCAAATGTTGTGCTGTGAATGAGCACACCTCCTGTCCACCAGCTTCAGCCTAAACCCCAAACAGTCCAGGTGTTTTAAGGGTCAACATCAACCATGCTGCAAACTCCAACCACCTCCTGGCTCTGGTTTGGAGAGACAAACAAGCTGAGATGCCATTTTCGGCATTTCATCAGCACTGCCCAGTTCAGCAGCTCAGCAATCATATCCTTCAAGTTTTAGCATCAGGCTCAGCAGAGGCTTCAGGGGAAGAAAACATAGCCCTGAGCCATATACTAAGTGTGACAGCTTATAGCAACACGTGGATCAGGTCTGAGAGCCGGGCAAACTACACCGCACTGCAGGTAGCTCCGGCTGTTCTGGCCATTAAACATTCAATGGCCTCACRTGGGTTTGCAGGCTTGCTTCTCAGACAGGACGAAAGGGAGAAAAAGAGAACACTTGGAGTAATAAAACAAAAAGAATAACATAACTACCACCATCTGTGAGGCACTGAACCAGAGCACGGCATTAGTTATTGCAGCTGTATTTGCATGTGACAGGCAGCGACCTCAAAGCCAGAGTCAGGTGGAGACAAGATGCTGTTGTGGCGAGTAGCAGTTCTATGAACAAGCCTCTCAGCAGCAGTGTTAGAAGAAGTCACAGTAAATGATAGTGGAAGGTACCAAAGCCATTCAGCAAGGGTAAAGTTATGATGGTCGTGGTGAAACCATGAGACAAATTCATTCAAATACTAAAGCTCTGGGTTTTCTTGTCAAGCCTATGCTGGGAAAGCAGCCTCTTCTAATGCAGGTACCTGTGTGGGTTGGGAGTTCAGCAACACAGTCTGGAAGGTGACCAGAAAGGTGGCAAGAAGTGAGTAGCAAGAAGGGTCCCAGTGTTCTGGAGAGCAAGRGAAATCCTGCCTGCTTTATTGGGAGGAACGGCTGGAGGCAGAGAGCCTCAGTGGTGGCTACATATGTTGCCCRTGTCCCTGAGGTTCATGCCTACATSCTAAGGCTTAACAGGAGAAGGCCCTTACATTTACTTTATGCTAAAAATGAAGCAATCCTTTTGGCTGACAAGGAACATTGTAACTAATAACCTCTGTGAAGATTACATTACTCCACACCTAACCTGGAATTTTAATGACAGGGTTGAGAATTTACTTTTCATTTCCAAGGTGAAATACTGCAGGTTAATAGGCTGTACATGTAACACTGACAACAGAGTCTCAAAGCAAGAGAAAAGCAGCCTATCTGGGGTTCAGGACAGACTGAGAAACCACCACACCAATTGAGAGAAAATGTTTGCTCACTCTAGCRAGCAATGTGCTTAAAGGTTACTACCTTTTCTGCCACTAAATGCTTATAAACCACACAGAGCTTATCAGTACAGAAGYAAGCTGCAGTTTTATTACCTCATGTTCACCCTTCCTTCATTCTTGSCTATTCATTACATCCACCTGTAAGGACAACAAACTGTTTGGAGCAAGAAGGGGTGCTCCCTGCCTGCTTTTCTAACACAGAATAGCAGGATACATTGGTCTACTTAGGCTTGTGTACATGGCTACAATATATGTAGCATATAGGCATCAGGGGCCTTCTACAAAGCTTCCAATCTGATAAAGGTGACTGAAAACAATGCTGCACCACTTCCACGGTTGTTTTCTTAATGATGCTTGAGCACATTTTCAGTTAGTACCAATTGGTAAAGCCCCAGGGCAGGTAACAGGGTTAGCTGCTATCCCTGAGAGCCTGGATCATTGCACCTTGCTTGGAGAAGCCAGCCCTCATTTAACTGCAAGATACATATGTCAAAAAGCTATTATACCTAGTGGTCTCAGTGCAATTGAGGCCGTGAACTTGAGTGGCACCGTAATTCTGAACATGAGAACACAATCTTAAATTGATTTCAGTTTTTCTTTGCCACTGAGGCAAAGATTCTCTCAAAGTATCTGCTATTTTGCTGTTCAGTTTCTACAGACTTATAACTCCCATAATGAGGGATATGCATAAAGGCCCTGACTCTTAAAAGAGGCTGTAYTTTATACCTTACAAATGCTCAGCAAATTTATCCTTCCCAAGTATGTCAGACTGCTTTAAAGCACTTGTCTGTATTTAAAAGCTACAGTGTCTGCAAATCAAATTGAAGACTCCTCCTTCCTTCATGGAAGTGGGATAAAACTTCAGGCAAATTGCTCAGGGCACTGCTAAGCCYCTAAGATTTCAGGATATTGATTCTCAGAGTAAGATTAATCCCCAAATCTGGTTGAAACTGCAGAAGTTCGCACGCAACATTATTTTCAGAACTGGACTTAGACATGAACTTGAGTTGCAGCGTTCACCACTCCCTGGAATTGTGTCAAGGTTTTTGTTGACTTAAGAATTTTGGAAAGGACCACAATTGACTAAAGACTGGTGATATTATGGAAGAGGAATAAGTGGAACATTCTCTCAAAAGCACTTGGGGCTTCTTTGAAAAAAAATATGATTTACATTAAGGTAGAACTGACTGTTCAGTACTTAGAAGCCTAGAAGTAATATTATGGGAAAAGGAATATCYTGGAATAAACTCCCACATTAAGCCAGTGGTATATGAATTTTTGTAACATTTCATTCACTTAAATATTTATGGAGCACTTGCTATCCCAAAAGAAATGAAAAAGTTCATTATCATTCCACTTATAGACAGCAAGAGGTAAATGTTCTAGACTTTGCTAGGCAAATGATTTTAAGCACTTGATTTTAAGAGACATTATGCACTTGTAATCTCGCATTCTTCAGAGGAAAGYTACACTGCTTAGAACCATTTATTTCAAGCTTAAGTCCTTTAATAAACCAAGTGAAAATTTGTATAAAACAGGAACAACTCTCAATGAATCTAGTAAGAAAAAAACATACCAGAAGTTCAAGCATTTGTGTACAGTACCTGAGGATCAGGATTAACAGCAGTGATGTCACTRAGCAAGACAGAGGGAATTTCAGGAGAAAGTAGGCATGGCTGGTCTTGGAAGCGATGGGCCAGCTCTGCACTCCACCAGATAACATCTGGAAGCCACGTATGGGACAGAAATGCAGAGATCTTCTGGTAAAGAGTGGATGTTTCCAGTAAATCTTCCTTRGTCTGTAAAGTCAATGGTTAAAACATGTTACTGATGGCCTCAGTAGCTTGTTCTGTGCCATGTACCTGCAGCAGCTTTTCTCACTCCTTCTGTCTTACAAAAGCAATCCCAACCTCACAACCTCTTCATCTYCCATGCAGGTGCACTTCAAATTCTCCAAGCTAAAATTAATAATTCCTTCAGCCTCCCAAACCATGAAATGCTACATCCCTACARCCAGGACTCTAACACAGTCCTCTTGCCCACAGAATGCACATGTGTTGTGTGATCCTACCATCACCCTGCCAAGCTTCCTGCCTCACATCCAAACTCAGCCCCTATCTTGACTGGGCTCCTCCAGAGCAGACACTGTCTGCACCAGGAGCTCATGAGCTGAGTGTGGAAGTGCTCATGCCATGACTGCCTCCACATGGACCTCACCCAGAGAAAATCTCCCTTGGTAAAGACTTCTGGGGAGGTATTAGGCACATTGCCCTTTCATCAAGGTGCTTGAAACATTCAGGCTGCTAAGACCTTCATCACAGAAGATGGTTAGAGTTAATAGTAACGTTTATTTGGTTACAAAATGCTCATAGAAATTAACTAGCTTGTGATATCCATCAGCCCACATGAATTACTCTGGTCTGCATACCTTCCATGGCCTATACATTAAAGGAAGGAAGGGGTCAGTGTTAAAGGGCAGTTGGGATGGATGAGTGCAGCCTGTCCAGCCATGTGTGTGCTGCAGAGGTCATCAGGATGCCCAAAAGGTTAAAAATTCCCACCTAACAGGTGGGTTGAGCCAGTAACTTTAATCTCCAGGCATTCTTCTACCAAAGGTAATTTGGGGGGGGGGGGTCAAAGGCTATCCCATTTGGCCTGCAGCCCTATGGAATGTGTCTCCTGAATAAATCTTTCATGAAAGTGCAGTCCCTGTAATTAAAACCAGACCTAACTTCTCATAAACTGAGCAGAAGGAAAAAATGCCATAAACAGGACCATAAATCAGCCTAATACAATATAACATCAATTTGCTAAAGGTTTCACAGGGATATTTTACATAATTGAATAGCTTTATCAATCTCAGTTTTTAACGTTTTTATTGAACACTGCAGGATGATATTAAAATGTAGCTCTCCATTCCCTAGCCTCCCTCTAAGCTCCCTGTTCTTCCATACCAGTAGGACTCGAATTTTCAGATTACAAAACTGTTGATTTTTATGAAATCTAATTAGAAATTAATCAAGTGAACAATTATACAAACATTTTCTCTAAAATATGTTTTATGGCTCCTGGAAATTCGACGAGTAGAAGTCACCAAACAGCCCCCAAATCCTATGACACAGATCAAGCTGTTTTGAACCACTACCGAACTGCTAGTGACCAAAGGGCACAGAAGAGCCACGCTGCCCTGTTCAGGGCCTGTCTGCCTAATTGGGAATGCTGAGCAGCTTCTTGGAAAGCACTCTCCATACAAAGATAATTCCCAGCAGATATGCCTGTAAACGAAGCTTGTTTATCAGCATGTAAAAATGACAAGCGGGGTGTACGTGTGTACGGGCATTTGTTCTGACAAGTGAAGAAAGCAAAGCCACATAGGCATGTAAATTTGTATCATTTCAATCAGTTGTCTGGAGGGAGGACAGAAATAAGAAGCTCAAACAAAAACCCCCCAAATCGACATTAATGGGAGAAAACGTTGTGGAGCAGCTTGATTTATGTGAATTGATGTTATCATGGTTGAATGAGCCAAAACTCAAGTCGCTTGAGGACAAGAGCTCTTTCCTTGAGAAACCATTACTRTATTTATAGAAAAACAAATAATGCTGATAAATGCACTCAGAATGGTCCAACACACAAGGGTTGGGAAATGTCAGTGGGACAAACTCACCCCATTGATACAGATGTGTCCTTAGACTAGCAACACAGTGTAAAAATTATACTCATATTATTAATCCCACCAAATCATCACGGGGTCCACGGACAACTGCTATTTTTGCTTCTCTCATGAGATACAAGTACAGATACATATAAAAAATGGGAATTTCTCTCCTGATATAAAACAGGCACTAACCTGTACCTAATGCTGCACAGTCAATATGTATTCAAATCCAAAAACAAACTCTGGACTCCTCCCATTAAGATCGTTAAAACAGCATTTTTATTTTACTATGCTACTGGTTAATATTTACACTACTTAGTATGCCTTTTTATACACAATCTAAAAAGCAGAATTAAAATTTTCCTACATCATTTCAGCCAATAGCTGTAGGAACTCCTCCCTGGACCTCATGCATTTTTCCTGATATTCATATTTTAAGAGCTAACTCCTGGTAACTGATTCTCATTACACCAAGAGGAAACAACCAGAGCAAAAACTGTTAAATGTCACAACAGCAGAATATTGTTAATTGATTCAATGATTAAATATTGTACATTAACACTATGCCAAGAGACTTCAGACTGAATAGTAAAATGTACCCAATTTCCCTACAACAAGCTGCTCAAAGGGAAGAACAGGCAGCCAGGACTAGGTGCTGTTTTTCCTGGCCCTGCTGTCACTGACATTTCTGAAGGACTCAGATCTGCAAGGAGAGCGCAGCACCTTTACAAATATCACCAGAAAGGAAAAATGAGAAAAGTTGATGTTGTTGCAGAGACATATGATAGAGACACTAATGAGGAGGCCTCAGCAGTACATAGTCTTGCTGTGCAGAACACTGGCCAAATGCTCTGCACGCTCGCTGCGGTGCACATTAGCTGAACCCGACAGCAATGTCAGTGTCTAAGTGGATCAGGAGATCAGCGTCCCCACTTACACGCAGCYTGGAAGCTCTAAGGCATGTTCTGCCAATCTATCCAGCTCCAACAAAGTGTTTGAGAAGCCTGAGCTTGTAGCTTGAAAAGTTCATTCAATTATGTGACACCAGATACCTATTTTAAGCATATTCAACACTCAGTAATTTGGATGCTTTGCCCAGCTGCTCAGCTGAAATCAGCAGCAAGCAACAAGGAAACGGGCACAAGTCAGAGGTCAGCCCCTGTTCCTCCTCCTCCTTTGTGAGAACACAGGCACAGAGGCTGACCTCTGACTTGTGCCCACTTTAATATCTTGAATCCAGGTGCCTGAGAGAGAAATCACCACTAAGCCCTTGGCCAGCCCAAGAGGCTGCTGRGTCTCATTAACCCTGCTGCTTCTGTTCACAGGTGCTTAGACACTGCCAGGAACATCACTTGTGTTGTTTCTCCCCCCCAAGTGTTTTAATCATTACATTTGTTGCTAGCATCAATCATTTACTTGCAGGAGCACTGGAGTCACAGCTGTCACATTTTAGGCTTTATGACACATCATGGGAAATTGAATCTTTACTGCTCAAAGACAGGCAGCTGCAGATGAAGAATGCTTGCTGCAGTTAACAAGGGAAGCCTAAGTGTGTTTTTAAACCATGTTTACACTTCCTCTTCCATTTAAACCTCACACGATGATGCATCTAGCAGGTGTGACTTAGGATACCTGGGGACCACCCTAACACCACCTGCTACCGCATCCACTGGGGTCTTTTTGGCATAGAGGAAGTGACAAGAGTTATCACATCTATCACATCACACTCCTGTTTGTATTGTCAGGCAATAAATAAGGATGCAGACAGCACAGTTGTCCATGTGAGTCAAAGAGCTCCAGGTGTGGAAAATCCACTGGAAGCTCAAAGCCACAAGCCCACTTTGAACTACCTGAGGGCAAACTCACCAGCCCTTACAGCACAGGGCCACGGTGCCTCAAAGGTCGTTTAAAAACAGGATGATTATTCAAGCAAGCGATCCAGAGATGGCAGGCACAGAAGGATCAYTGTTCCTCAAATACACCTGGGTGCATGTTCCAGCACAATGTTCCATATCACATGTTTGTTTCTATAGATTTAGCAAGCAAGGATAGCAAGGCCAGATTAGGTCTCAGAGTAATATCTAACAAGCTGTCTCCAAAGAGACAAAGAAYAGATGCATCCAGATGTATAACCAAATTAGGTCTGCTGAAAGACAAAACTAAGAAACAAGGGCCCAGAGCTGCTACTTGGTAGCTCTGCCATTCAGAGGACACAGGCTAGAATCACTCCCTACATCTCAGGGTGCTACCTGCATGTGCTAGATGAGGATCTCTCAGCTTGGTACTCTGCTGCACAGCACAAACTCACCAGTCTACCACCTCTAAGGGAATGAAGCTTCAGGTCCCATCTGCAGGTCTTGTCTTTTGGGAACTGACTAGCAAGACATTATTTCCTCTCCTAGGCCATACACTTCACATGGTTAAAATATAAAAGCAAAAATTAATGTAAAATAACTCATGTAAAAGATACGATTCCAGTCCAATTTCCACGTGACTAGCCAGTCAGTGCTGCTACTCACTTCATTCTTCCAGACCTTGGTGCTGCTTTGGGCTGGAGATTCATCTGGTGACRTTAGGCAAGCATAGAGGGCCAAGCCATCCTCTTGCCAGGCCTGTTGCAGTCCTACCACCCGAAATGGAGCTTCGGTCTCACCTTGCACAGGAGGCACCTGTRAATCCATTTGAACATTATTTCATTTTAAGACAGTTATATTTACAGACTAAAAATAATCTTTCATCTCATTTTGTTGCTTTTGAGCATTCAATAACTCAGGGAGTAYCCTAGCTTGATTAGCTATGGTTCARCTAATAAAAACTCAATAAAAAACAAATTAAATGGGAATAACATGTAGGTTTGGGTAAGTCATAGGATTTATATTCYCAGTGAGGACTCTAATAACCTGTAAGCTCTGAATTTAACCAGCTATGTGAAAGCAAGAGGTCATATTAGTTCCCTAGTGTAGCAAGAAATGAGAACAAAGTCCCTGTCACCACCGCACTGCATGTGCTTACCACAGTAGTACTGTGTGCTGCCTTTATTAATGATAATGAGACCAATGCAATTCAGTCCAAAAATCAAGGCCATGCAATTACATTATGCTAAGGAACTAAGACAGGTTTCTTTAATAGCCTTCATCCTCCCCATTACTGATGACTATTGGCCAAAACATTATCAATTCCTATCCAATGATTCCATCTTTTAGTTTATAGTGAGGTATTGTCCTTTGGACAGATCTTATTTTTTGTTTGTGAGTGGGAGGCAAGCATTCTGTTTTCCAACATACAGATTTGGCCCCAAATAAGAAGGGTAAAAAGTGACTTCTGCCATGCTCAAGACAAACACCAGCTATTGTTCATCAGGAACATCAGTTTAGCTCCAGAGATAGAGTTCCAGACATATGGATCACTCTGACTCAAGGCTCAAAGTCAGGCTGAAACRTGATGCATTTTAGTATACAGAATACATGAGAAACCCCATTATTGCATAGAAAAGTTAAAGGAAAGACACCTGAATCAGAATGGGAAGACACTGTAGTGCTCAAAAACAGTCTGAGACTTAGAAAGCAAGTGAAAGAGGGGAGAGGGCTATGAGAAAATAAAGATAGTGAACTAGTGAAGCTATGAGAAAGGAACAACAGGCAAATGAGGTGCAAATCCCCAAATCAGATCACATATAATATGAAAAGAGACAAATTTGAATTACAGGATTATGATTCCTTTCCAGGTTCTAGGGAACACACAAACCACTTAGGCTTTGTTCTCTGGGTGATCTCTAAAGATATTTACAGCCTTGCTATTTATTGCATATATAAAAATAAACCTATTTACAGTGAAACAAATGCCTTTAAAAGTATGATCCCAATAGAAGCCTTGTATGCATTTTCAAATTGCTTTTATAGGTCAGATGCATCATTCAAAGTAGCACTACGAAGCCCTTGACTGCTCTGATCACTACYTTCACAAGGGAATTTCTGCAGCAGCTCTGCCACAGGAACACTCACATTTGGAGGACCATATTCTTAGCTGGTAAAGTTCAGTGCATCTCCACTGACCACAAAATCATGTTGATTGACACAAGCTAAAAAACAGCGAATTGGGGAGTTACCCAGGTTGGAACTGGATAAGAATTTGGTCTGACATGGCTCAACTTTTCAACTGTTTATATTTGTTTTTAAGGAGAAATGTAGGCCTTTTATTTGTCATTGCTGTCCAACAGCTGCACAGGAACCTGCTTGAAGTGAATTATTTTTATTTCATCCGTGTTTCTATCAGGCACAAAGTCCATAATGACATTTGGCCCTGCAGCCTAGTAGAGTGACACAGCCCTGGAAGCTGAGAAGTCCCTTCAGCCTTGGAGAAAGCTCCTCCAGGCTTGATAACAGGAACAGCTCAAAAGAAATAAGCTCACACAGCAATTGCCTACGAGCTACTTTCCAAATGGAAGATTCACGCTCCAAGGCTGTGCAAGCGACAACTTCCACTAGCATTGAACTAACACTAAGGAATGTTGGCAATATTTTAATGGAAGTGTGAACATCATTAATAATGAACACTGTTAAAGTGATTTAAAAGCCTTGTGCAGGCTGCATGCAAGGGATGACATTTTTCTCAAGTGGGCAGATTGATACACCCATGTTTACAGCAGGCAAAAAAGAACACTAACATGTGAGTGGAAAAAATGAAAAGTTCATTGCCTGCTTGCCCTCAGGGAGGAGACTAACATAGGATGGGAATGTAAGAGAAAAACTTCTTTAGTGGAGAAAGATGTGATGTAAAGGACAACCAAGATTAAACAGAACACCACATCTTTATACCCCTCTTTYGACCATTGGAAAGGATCCACTTTTAATCAGACCACTGTTAAAAAAATTGACACCTGTCACTTCTCTTGCAGAAGTATTATAATCAGAATTCTCTGAAAAATAGAGGGCTGAGTATTTCAGATCTGTCTCTCCCATTTCTATTTTGGGTGTCATTCTTCATGAACTACACATGTTCCAGCATCCACTGAAACCAGTATGACAGTCACTTACTGATTTCAAGGCAAGTTGGGAGACAATTTCTCTTTTGTTTAGCCCACTTTTTGTATCTGTTAGAAGGAGACTTCTAGAGCGAGGATACACTCACTGAAGGGCACAATACACCTTTCCTAAGGCACCACCTCTTGCACACTGTCACTGCATTTACTCACCAGAGAAAGCAGCCATGCCACAAGGGCCTGGAACATGTTGGCCGCTGTCAGCGCCGCGTTAGGCACCTGCTCACTGTGCTCAGGTGCARCTACCTGGCCACAACTCGACAGCCAAATTGTCATTAGCAGCATCTCCTTCCTCACAGCGCCTGGGCTAGGCAAGGTATCAATATCTGGCAAATAGGAGGTTTCCTGTCAAAAAAGAGGAAAATTAAAGTCATTTGGATACCTTGAACTGTTCAGTAGCATGAGTGAACTGCATTCATTGCCRCTATAGTTGCAGAAATGTTATCTAGCAAACATTTATCAAACGATCATGAGCCTGTGCATTGTCTGTGCCATAAAAGTTAGGTCACTATTTCACTAAGACCTTTCGGAGCACTTCAGCTTTTCTTGGACAGCCACAGCCTGCGTCTTTTCTTATGATCTGTATCTACCAAACAGTCTGATTCTGTTTGGCAAACAGAAGGTTACACAGTCACAGCTGGAAAAAAATGTTTGATCAAATTCCTTCTGTATTCTGCATTGAGCTTTAACATTAACTTCTTATTCAGCAAAATGCCTTTGAAACAAACCCAACCAAAATGTTAACTTGATTATTTTCTGGTTAGTCTAACATATCTCATTTTTAAATAGTACACTTAAGTGAACTCATTTCCTTTTTCTTCACTTTAGAATTCATGTTGGTCCATTAAGGTAGAAAGTCCTCTCCCTTAAAAGACCTTTTCTTTAAGAAAAAAACCCACACAGGCAAGCTTAGGTTGTGGAATTACAGTTCACAGAATGTCTTTTTTTCCTCCAAAGATGTGAGAGCTGCAGCTGTAATTAGTAGCTGCTTTGCTGTTTCTCCATTCAGCCTGCTGCCCTGATATTACCTTTGTAAAGCAGGAAGAAACACAGTCCACGAAGTCACACAGTTACATAGTTTTTCCAGCATTTTCCATCCAAAAGGCAATACTGCATTTTATCAGCCATGACTCTGCAATAAGGACCCTGAGGCATCTTGACTGCATATATCCCACTGACCTAGACATGCATTCATTTTGCAAACAGCCAGAACTGCTTATGGTGTCACGGTTTCCCWGCTACCTATTATAGCTGCTGAAGAGAAGGTTCCCCACTGCAGATCCAGGGCAGAACGTGACTGCCTGCCCCGCACGTGCCAACACACAAACCGCAAGTTAGGAGGAGCAGGATTCACCTGAAGTGACCTCTCCTTGTAGGAGGTTGGAGAGCAGCCCTTTCCTTGAGGGGAGCCATGCGAACCCAGCAGGAACACAGTGGGAGCAGGAGGGTGTCGAGGAGCAGCTGGRCAGTTACCTCCTCAGCTGCTCCTGGTAGCCGTTAATGAGGATGTCTGCCCTTGCCCTTACACTGAATTAACCTTAATTTGATTTACCTGAATTTGCTTTGGAAGCCAAGTAAGCCAAATCCAATTAAAGCCACTTTAATTCTGAATTAAAATGTCCACAAAGGTGTTTAATGACTAATCCACTCTACAAGCTAATGGAGGCTGACTTCCCTGCCTGTCCTGAAAACACTCAAGTTTATGTTTTCAAAAAAGGCATTAATAAAAAAAGCCATGGGCAGATACACTGTGCTGCACAGTGTTTTGATACTGAGACATCTGCCATAGACATCAGCAGTGCCAACCAGCACAAAATAAAAATTGCAATCAGTAATAAAGGAAAAATATTCAYACCAAAGTATCTGCTGCTGCAGATYCACACAGCTARCAACCCTGTAGTCCTGGGGAGCCAACAGGACTGATCAGGGCTTTGATGCTCCTTCTGTAATTCCAAGGAAGAGGCCTCAGAAGAAACTTGGGAGATGATGGCCTGTTTCTACATYCTACATTGCCCAAACCTCACCTCCTTCCTCTCGCACCAAGAGGATGTGAGTGAGATCATGACTGGTGATAACTCACAAGCAAAAGATGAAACCAGTATCTATTGCTGCTTAAGCAGGAAAAAATCCAGCTGCTCCAAATCTGCTTGGTTACAGCAGCAGAGGAAGGTTCAAAACATTTTCTGTGCAAGACCAGATAGCAATTTTGTCTCTTAATAAATTAAGGTTCTCTGAGAAAGAAATGAGATTTTGAACARTGATTTTCCTCCCTCTGCAAGACTGTTCTCTAAAACAAGGATCTAGGAGTATAAAAACTTAACTAGCTGTAGAAGTATTACAGCCAGCCAGTTGAACAACAACAACAAAGAACTAATCCTACTTAATTCTAAGTAAGAATACCTGAAATCAACCACACTCAGTGTGTTTTTAAGATACCTTCACCCAGATTTGTCCAATTTATCCTAGACCATCTATGGTCCAATTTGCCTACATTTTATACTAGTTCTTATTTGGGACAATTTAAAATTATGAAAAAGAAAAAGGACTTAAAACCTCTGTTATTTTTGGTTACTTTGGCTAGAATTGTGTTGTCAATCACAAATAGGCTTGCAGTTGAYGACAGTCAAGTGCTAGCAGATACTAGAAATAATATACCAAGAATACACCAAAATAAGACAACATTTCCTATTTTCAAAAGTGCTTGCTATTTTATTTTGTAATTAGATCTTAAAATGATTTTACCGCCTTTGCTCTCACCCATGACCACCTTAGCACAATCACACTGCAGGTAGAAGCACTAGTCACACAGGGCAGCCAAGGGAGAACAGGCCTCTCTGGTTAAAGCAATAATTAAACAACCTTCCCACCCCAAATCCACACCAAAAAGAAATGGGCAAAAAGCAACTGCAAAACTTAAGGATACACGGTGGCACAATCCTGAAAGAGCTATGCACAAATAACTTGCAATTAGGAGGGATACATAAGGTGGACACTAAAAAAAAAAAAGTTATTTTATCTCATTACACTTTTAAAAGAGCTGTTTATAATCCCAGCAAGCTGAGAGGATATAAATTTGTCAGCCAAGACAAACATTATTTTGTTTCTAATAAAATGGGGCTAATTGGTTAAGCTATGCTTTGGGAAAGCCTGGCCGGGATCCTCCTGCAGCAGCCTACGTAGCCCAACAGCTCCRTCACCCCACCAGGCTGCAAGGACAGAGCAGCAGGACAGGACAGGAGGCCAAGAGGACAAGCTGGGAACATTGCTGCTGGTTACCACCTAGGTACAAGGCCCACAGCAATGCAAGTAGCTGCCGTTTGAAGTGCTCTTTGGAAAACACACCTTGCTGCGTGCTTAGGAGCTCACTCCTAAGCTCACTCCTCCACAAAGACATAAGGCAGTTAGTATTTCTCAGCAGAAGRAGCTCACTCTGAGAGGGTCTCCTGGGGGCCAGGAAGAAGCCACCTTCTTCAGAAAACATTTCTCCTTCACAGCTAAACAAAGCTTCAGTATTTTACATATAGCTCCTTCTCCAACAAGGCACTGATGCTAAAGCCAAAGCAAGTTATCACTGCCAATTAAAAGAGAACCTCTGCTGAGCAGACTCCCCAGCAAAGAGAGCTAAACAAACACATACACTACCTTTAAAATGAGGAGAAGCTATTGAAGCTGCCACCACATTCCCTTCTTTATGGTGAGAGGGAGAAGGGGTGGGAGAGGAGGATTCTTACTGTCATTGGCTGGAGGATTAATCAAAATAATTGTTTTCAGCCATGTCTAAATTTATTCTTCTATGTCAGCTGCCCCCTAGCTTGGCTCACGCAGATTTAAGAGGCAATCCCTGATGAATGGCAAATTACTGACTGCAGAAATCTTCTGCCAAATGATGCATCTGTTGTACATTTATAAATGTGCACTGATTTCTAGGTACTTTAGCAGCTCCAGCTAATTCCTCTAGTGAAATTCTATGCTCCTCATGCTGAGATAGCTCTAGCATTGCATGCTCATGCTTTACTGCAGGCAGGGCTCAGGGCAGAAAAAGCAAATGCAACCATGTTGAAGCTGTGGTCGTGCAGCTGTTTTAAATGCAGATAAAACATTGCTYGTGTAGGACAGGGAGGAGTTAGGGCACGTTTAATAGTTCTGCCCAGTTCTCTGATGCAAAATAGATAATGCTGGTTTATGGCTTCTAAAAATTCTTGCATTAGATGAAAGATGTATTGGAAATGTCAAGCATTTGTTCTTCTTCATTCTTTAGGGAAGGAAAAATGATGACAATACCATCTGTTAGACAATTTGAATTCCACATTAAATTGTGGAATCAACCCTGAAACCATTCAAAGAACTGCTTTTTCATTGTAAAGTGGGAGCAATGGAGAAGAATGAAGAAAGTAGCTCCATTTCCGGCATGCAACTTGCAAAACRCACTGTAATTAGGAAGGCAACCTTTAATAACAAAAAGGAGAGTATGACTTATGTTAATGGTCTGAATGGTCTTTCTGTTAATTTATTTTTGTACTAGATTTGTTCTCTATAGCCTCTGTAGCACAAGTGTTTTTTTCTGAGTATCAAACATGCTGAAGTTACTGAGCTKAAAAATATGACAGTAGTAGGATTGTATTGAAATTTTCTGACCTGAACTGAGCTCCAGATTGCTGAAATGAAGGAGATCTGATCCTCCAAAACAGATCATTTTAAACACTGCCAACATAAGATTGCAGAAACTCACAGAGCTGCATAATGAAAGTGCTATTTGTTATGATCTCTGCAGTTCATAGTTAGAGTATTATGCACCAGGTGAAGTTATGTAAAAAATAATAAAAAATAAGGAAATGTCTTTGCTGAAAGTATTATCTGTTCTGGACACTTAGGCTTAGTCTTGAGCATGATATATATAACCTCTGCTAATTCAGAAGGAAATACTTTCCCATTCCTGTCAGCGTGAAGGTGCTGGAGCATAAAGAAGGCAAGTGTAGAAGAGAAGTGTCAGCTCATGGCCAGAAATGACTGAGTATGAGAGCACAGGTCAGAAGTGACACATGGAAAGGAACCAAGCTCTGCCTGGCACAAGGTCCAAACAGAGCAAAAATCACTGCAGGACCCTTTTTATGTTGCTGCCAGCTGAACATGGGCAACCTCAGGTACAATTTAAATAAGTTTTATTGCTTCTCCRGCACTTGCAGACAGTAAATGATAGCCAGGACCAGATAAATTTCCATCTCAGGGAATGTGGGGATTATACAAAGGGCCATTTTCAGGCAGTTCAATCCATAACCCTTCACACAAATGAAGGCAACATCAGTATGGGATGTTAAGTGATTTACACTGGTTCTGTGGCACTTCTG